GGCCTTCAAAAGGCGTGCAGACCTGCCAACACCCTACTTTTGGACTTCTGGCCTCCAGAACTACAAAAGAATAAAATTCTGTTGTTTTAAGCCACCAACTTGGTGGTAATTTATTACAGCAGCCACAGGAAACTAATACCAATTGTTTCCTATATAACTAATAAGTGTATCTGTACTCTCAAGATGTTTATAATTCTTTTATATATTCAGTACATTTTTTTAAAAACCTGTTTTAAACAATATGATCCAATTTTTATTTGAAAACAATGCATGGTAACTATCCATTGCCCAGTGAGTGTTTGCCCTATATATTTTTCACAATAAGAACTTAAAAGGCTTTATGCTCAAATGTGCACCTACAGATTGGCCCAAATCCGGTCCTTTTGTCTAGCTTTGAGGAAGTCACTTCTGCATTGGGCCAGTCTCCTTCAATGATCTGGAAAAATCAACTTTTTTCCCCCAATAAACCTAGACCAGAGATCAAAAATTCATAGGTCCACGGGAGCCAGGTAGCTATATTCTTCAATGAAGAGGGCCCGTAGAAGATATTCCGGCATATTGGTTACAGAGGCAAACTGGGCAGAGCATCCTTGTCTTAAGTTGCAGCTAGAGCTCACCTCTAACTCCTTGTTGCCATAGTGGAATCAGACTGGACCTTACCAAATTCTTTGATTTTCCAAGAGACACTGGAAATTTGGATTTTTTTTTTACATGAAATCTTCTGTTTTTAAAATGTGGGCATCTACATTTTAAAACATTTCTCTTAACATTTAAAAAATTCTCTTAAAACATTTTTTTCAGACCAGATAAAACATGGACACTCAAATCTCTAGGTTTCCACTTGTGATTTAGACCTTCATAAATAAGAGCCATTCAACTCTACCCAGGAAGTAAAAGAAATCTAGGCGTCAGAATACCATGCCTGGGCTCCTTTGTTGAAAGAGATATGGAAAATTCCTCTCATTCTCTGCTGATAAGTCTTCAGCCTTGAACAAAAGATACAGTTAATTTTGTATTATTCTGCCACATAAAATTTTCATAAATTGCCCCGCTAGTTAAGCACTGTGCCAGGCACATGGTAAATGCTCAGTGAATAGTAGCTTATCATCCTTGATATGGTGGGTATAAATTTTCTCCCCCTCCTTTGGACAGTCCAAGAATTGGGATGGGGTTGGATAAGTGGTTCCCAGAAAATGATGGAAGAACCTCTACTCCCCAGCCATCGTTGTGGCAGGTATTCGTTGCCCAAGCCCCCAGGATCTGTTCAAAGTCAAGTGGTTCTACTCCCTTCATTATTCTCAGTGCCAAACAGAGCAAAAGGAAACTTCCATTGTGGCACCAAAGGCAACAGTTCTCAGTGTTCACTCTGGTCCCTGGCACTGCTGCTCCCCATCCTCATCAAAGGTCCAGTCCTGACAGCAGTAAGAGGGGAGGTTTGGGGAGGGGGGTTGTTGGAAAGAAGGTAAAAGGATTAGTCAAGGAACATGTGGGCACGGACAACGGGGTGGGGATTGACTATGGAACTGGGGGTGGGCTGGGTTGGGAAGGGGAAAGGGGAATATAACTGGAACAACTATAAAACATAAAAATTAAAAAAGCCCAGTCCTTCTGGGCACAACATGGAAGTATCTGACCTACTTTGACCTTTCTGCCTATGGAGTCCGTCTGCCTCTTGGACCATCCAGCTCCAACACCTCTAGGAGTCTAGGGTTGGGGGTTGGATGAGGAAAAGGTTTTTAATTCCCCCTGGGAACAAAAGCAGGACAACTACCCTGGCTGCTTGGAAGAGTGGGTTAAGGATCAAAAGAAAGAAATCCACCCCCCAACTTTTTTTCCCCTTACTGCAAGAAACAACAAATTAATCTCAATAAATCAAGTTACCACATTATTATTGGGGAGAAATACTACTTAAATGCAGGCTTTGGAGTCCATGCAGGAATCAGAAATCACTGATCTCTGGCTTCCGTTGAGGAAGCTAACAAGCCAAGGAGCGCCCAGGGAGGTCAACAGTAGATCAAAGGCACAGGCAAGACAGATAGGGAGGCATTTATTTTGAGAAGGATTATGAAGTCTCATTGGGCTCTTCAAAATTTTGGTCTCTTCCCTAGCTGATGTGGCTCAGTGGATCTAGCACCAGCCTGTGAACCAAAGGGTTGCTGGTTCAATTCCTGGTTAAGGCACATGCCTAGGTTGTGGGCCACGTCCCCAGTGGGGTATGTGCAAGAGGCAACCACACATTATGTGTCTTTTCCTCTCTATCTTCCTCTCCTCCTCTCTCTAAATAAATGAAATCTCTAAAAAAAAAATTGTTGCAGTGATGAATGTTGTGTTATCTTACCACAATAAAAAATAAAAATCTCTTCCCTTGCATCTAAAAATAAATAAATAAAATCTTTTGAAACATGTTTTTGGTCTCTTAGGTCTAGAGCAAAGTCTCCTGGGTTCAGGATACAGAGCTTCCAGGCCTGGACAATGACTTGCTCTCAGTAGCGCTCAGTCAAATTCATTGCTCAAACACATCTAAGGAGCTGTGTGAATGAGAGAAAGCCTTGCTTTCTCTCTGTTTCAGTTTCCTCTCTAACATGGCCAACATCAGCACGCAGGCTGTTGCAGAGAACCATTGTGCAGATCAAAAGAGAAAAATACATGTATTTTTAAATGTAGGCAATATGCTTGAAAATTTGCATTTTGAAGGTAGAAATACCCTTGAGTAAACTGCCAATTCCTCAGAGTACAGAAAAAGAAACACTTATTCTGCCCAAAACAATTATATCTTAGCTATTCCATTAAAACTCTAACATAGCCTTGAGTATTATCTAAGAATTTGTTACACATTTCATAAACATTGCTAACTAGGATGACTGATTAGATAGGTAACTGTGATTTAGGATTATGACATTTATTCCAAAAAGTTTTTGAAACAACATGAATCACCATATAACTTGAGGGTCAAAGTAAACAGTTCTTTTAAAGTTTATGTAGGCTCTGCAATGACCGTGAATTCTGATAACAAAGCAGTATTAGGTCAGCACTTACAGTGCAACTGTAATTCTATCAACTGTGAGTCTGGAATATGAAATAACACTCTGGCTGATATTCTCCTTACCGACTCTGTTTTAATTCAGGAGACTATATGGTCTACTTTTCAAATTTCAGAGCTTAAGATGTTAGAACAGTGTTTTCAGGTGATTTTTTTAGACCTTTGATTCTTGGGCTCACTCTTTAAAATTACCAATAATACTGTTACTAAATTCACTTATTCCATGTTTTATGGAGAAAATAACTTGAAAAGATATTGGAATAATTACTATCTACTATTTGTAAGTGTTCTGCAGATAATTTTAAGACACAATACTAAAACAAGAGAATTATAGAAGTTGAGGGGACCTAAGAGGACTAGTCAATTTTCTAATCTCACAAATAAAGAAAGTGGGCTCAAAGTTGTGGGTGAACTCACCTGCCCAAATTACTGTCACAAAGTCATAGCTAAACTTATTGCAAAAATGCCTATTGATAATTACTTTAGAAACATAGGTATTATAAATTAGTCCATTTGTGCAAGTACACCCATCCTCTTCTTGTGGATGGATTATTATCAGAGGGTCTACATAATATAATTTATGAACTGATATATTTTTAACTTACAATAATTGAACTTGAATGTCTGCTCCCTGAGTGTATAAAGTGAAACAAAGGAAACTTAAATAGAATGAGTCTTCATGGAATATTCCAAAAGTAAGTGGAGCTAACCTAAGATTCATTCTATGGTCATCCATATCAGAATTCCCTAGAATGGGGGTATTCCAAGTTGTTTTGTTTGGTTTTTGCTCAAAACACCCTAAAAGAATTTTTTTATCAAAAGTTTAAGGAGTTGAAACCAATATAATTTCTGACATATTGTAAATATAGACATTCTAAAATAAAATGGTTCCATCCAATTTAAATGTACCTAAAATAGTATCAGCATCACAGTGATTGATTGGTATTACAGTTACTCATTTAAAAAAGCTTGAACAATCCCTTCTTTTTCTTTTTTTCTTTCATTAGTATTTATTTTGTGTTGAATTTACTCCCAGGCCATAAGTTTTTGTTTCTTCAGTTTTTTTCAGGGATATCTTTTTCTTCTGTGTAACCTCCTCTCTGGCTTAGGAACAATCTGCTCTTTTTCAGTAAGGATCACCACAGTGTGGCAGGGAGAGCTCATGTGTGGGTTAATCAGCCCATGAGTTCTATGAATTCTATGCTTGGGAGCTTTGTTCACCTGAATGTGCTCAGTGACCAGAGAATCTACATCTAAACTCTTAAGTTCAGCATCACTCTCTGCATTTTTAAGCATGTGCAGCAAAAATTCAGCACTCTTTTTGGGCCACCGACCCTGCGTCCAGTCCCACTGTTTGATCTGGGCACCTACCAACTCCACCATTACATTGACAGAATGGGACACATTGCTTCTTCAAAGTGACATCTTTCAGATAGTTGGTGGCTTTTCAGATCTACACGCCCTTGATGGCCTGGGCAGTTCCATGAGTGTTCTTAAAGTGAACATGAAGATTTGAACCTCTTGATTTGCATGAGTTGGTGGGGTTTTCTGGGTCAAGTGAATAGGGAACCATTTTCAGAGGTCAACTTGGTTGCTTTCAGGAACAATCCCTTCTTTAATATTTGAAATTTTACATCTTTCCTTTCCTCCTAAGGAAAGTCTTTTATTAATCATAATTCTCTGTAACAAAAATATCAATATAAGTTGAATTTATAAGTTGTATGTGTGACTATCATTTTTTAGATGTTAAAATTCTTCAGATTTGATTTACCATTGATTCCTATTAATATACAACAATATAAATTATACTGTCATTTAAAAACCCACTGAACATAAAAAGTTATTTTTAATAAAAATGTACTTCTCTTACTGAGATCACAATCCATGTTTTAAAATGGCTTATTGCTAGAACAAAATAGGGTATTACATCATTTTTCTTCCTTTCTAAAAGAATAAATGTATACCTGCCTGGCAGGGGAGATCCCATGATCACGAAGTCGGTTTTCCTGGCGAAGCTTGTCCATTGCACTCCAGATGCGCTGACCCCTGCGATTTCCCACAATGTGGGAAATTCAACTGCATAATTTGTGGTAGAGGGGAACTGTGTTTGAGCTCTTCCTGGGAAAATATACAAACAAACAAGGAAATCTTGTCACATTATAAAAGTAAGTAGTAACAAAGGAATTTTGTTATTGCAATGTCAACCAAGTTTTGAATTTCTTCTAGGTTATATTTTGAAAAATCATAAAATATCATCAAAAATTATGTGTAATGATCTACCAACTAGACTAGATTCTCCTTCAGATCAGTGAAAGCATTCAATTGGAAACCTCCTCATTTACAAAAGTATTCATTACTCAGTCACTAGAATCCCTCAGTTTCTCTATTTTGAGAAAATCTGCCAAAAAGATTTTACCTAGGCTCATTCAATATATTTATTATACTTGTTCTTCTTTCACTTTGAAGTATCATGTTTAAACTTAGGAATAGGAAAATGGTATCCATCTCTGGGCTGGTGTGGCTCAGTGGGTTGAGGGCTGGCCTGAGAACCAAAAGGTTGCAAGTTTGATTCCCAGTCAGGGCACACGCCTGGGTTGTGGGTCAGGTCCCCAGCTGGGGGCACATGAAAGGCAACCACACATTGATGTTTCTCTCCCTTCTTTCTCCCTCCCTTCTCCTCTGTCTAAAAATAAATAAATGAAATCTCTTTTTAAAAAGATATCCATATCAATCTTAATTTCATTACACTTCAGCCAATTTAATATTTCAGTAAAATGTTCTTAATCAACACATGCTTTAAATATATTTTTTGTCAAAACTTGGAGCTTTGGCACTCCCTGGCTGGTATGGCTCAGTGGGTTGAGTGCCAACTTGTGAACCAAAGGATCACTGGTTCAATTCTCAGCCAGGACAAATGCCTGTGTTGTGGGCCAGGTACCTTGCTGGGGGAGTGCAAGAGGCAATCAATGTTTCTCTCCCACATTGTTATTTTTCTCCCTCTCTTCTTCCCCTCTCTCTAAAAAAATAAGTAAATTGTCCTGGTTGCTATGGCTCAGTGGATTGAGTGCCAGCCTGAGAACCAAAGGGTCGCTGGTTCATTTCCCAGCCAGTACACATGCCTGGGTTGCAGGCCATGTCCACAGTGGGGGATGCATGAGAGGCAACCACACACTGGTGTTTCTCTCCCTCTCTCTCCCTCCTTTCCCCTCTCTCTAAATATAAATAAATAAAATCTTTTAAAAATAAATAAATTTTTTTTTAAAACTTGGAGCTTCAAATATAGCATGTTAAAGTTATGGAAACTATCTATCAAAGAACCTGAAGATGTAGTTCTCTTTGTCAAGCCATTCAGTCTTTTTTATTTTCACAAAACTACCTGACTTCATTATTCTCTTTTTAATTTATTTTTGAAAAGATTTTGTGTACTTGTTTTTTTTTTAGAGAGGGGAAGGGAGGGAGAAAGAAAGGAAGAGAAACATCAATGTGTGGTTGCTTCTTGCATACCCTCTACTGGGGACCTGGTCCACAAACCAGGCATGTGCCCTGACTGGGAATCAAACTTGCAACCTTTAGGTTCGCAGGCCAGCCCTCAATCCACTGAGCCACACCAGCCAGGGCAGACTTTCAATTCAAATTAACATGTTAGTTTATATTTCAAAAGCATTATATAAACCACTGAGAACTATCTTCAGGAAAGTATCATATATGATTACTAAAAATGATTAAATTAACATAATTATAATTTAATTAGTATATCTATTTTATAACATTATTAAAACATGATAAGATAAATCAATTTGTTGTTTCTCATTACCCAATTTGGAAAAATAATGCTGTAAGTTATTTGTGAAATTTGTAATATGATAAGAGGCATTTATTTGTATCAAACTCATGAAAACAACTATGAACAGTCAAAACAAGTACTGCCTAATACTGGCATGGAACCAGTTTTTCACATGGAAGACCTGTTCCTAATAATATCTGAGAAGACCCACCTAGAGCTGGTAAAATAGTTGTTTATAAAGTTGAAGGACAAGACATCCCAATAGTTTACAGAGTATTCAAAGTTTATGAAAAAGATTATGGAGACATCAAATTTATGGCTAAAGGAGATAATAATGAAGATGTCCTAGAGGCTTGTACAAAGAAGGCCAGTACTCACTCGAAATGAAAGATGTGATGGGAAGAGCCAGAGGGTTTTCACCATATTTTGGTATGGTCACCATAGTAACAAACAACAATCCAGAATTCAAGTATGCTTTCTTGGCTATAATAGGTGCATATGTGTTACTAAAATGCATATGAATAAAACATATGAGTCCTAAAATGACAACCAGTTTCTGGGACAAGATCAAAATAAGTTCTGTTGAAAAAGAGAAAAACTGATATGTTTGAAATGTTTTATTTTCTGTATATATGAAAACAATGAGGAGATGTTTTCATCTTGTCCAAATAAATGATTTGTCAGTAAAAAAAAAAAGTGATGATTTTCCACTTCTATCATTCCTTTTACATTTATTAACTATAATTCTTCTATATAAAAGAGCTTTCCCTTTTCCCTATTTAATCAATTATTTAGTTCAGTAGAGACTCAATTCTCATTTTATTCTATGGACTATAATCCATTTTTATTATTATTTATTTTGATGCTCAAATTGTCCCAGATTTGGCCATTGAGAGTCCCCTCAGGTTACTTTTGCCACGACCCTAACAGTTGTGAGGGCTTCCTTGCTTTCCATCACAAAAGATGTTTCAAAGTTATTTTATATTCTCCGTCCCCAAGTCTTGAGCCAAGGAACTCTTTTAGTTTGGGAATTGACCTTCTTCAGTTTTGGCAGATTTCCTTAAATTATTTATTTGATAATCTCTTTTTCTCTATTTTTTCTGCTCTCATTTTCTAATCCTTACTAGTCAGGTGTTTTACCTTTACCTGATCTACTTTTCTCTTGAAAATGTTTTTTATTAAAGAAATTATAGAACTGCACAAAAGTAGAGAGAACCAAAAAGAATACTCCATATGCCCATTACCCACTTTCAATGATTAACATTTTGCCTTTTTGAAAAAGTATATTCCAAAGCAAATCCCAGATATTATATCACCTCACCCATAAATATTTCAGTATACATCTTAAATAAATAAAGACTTTTTAAATATAACTCCCTACACCATTATAATATTAACAATATTACCAATAATTTCTTGATATCATGTAATACCCAGCCTGCATTTACATTTTACTTTTCATAATTGGCTTGAAGTTTAAGATAGGATTTCAGCAAGTTTCACATTGCATTTGGTTGTTAATGTATGATATTTCCTCTTCCACCACCCCCTTTCTGTTTATATCATTTATTTGTTAAAGAAACTGGGACATGTGTGACCCTCTGGGGTTTTAGGGTTTTTTCCCTCTCTCCAGTTTCTCTTTGTCTCTTTCTATTTGCTGGGAGATTTCCTCAATTTATTTTCCAATATTTCCAATGAATAACTTTTTTGGTAAAGAAATTTAAATTGCATGTTTTCTCAATATTTGTTTATCATAACAACCTGTTCTTTTTTTATGATATACTCACTTATCTTCTCCTAGCTCCCTAGTTTTTGATGTTTAATTATCTTTCTGCCCTTGTGCACTGTCTCCACTTTCTCTGTTTCTTTTTTTCTGTTATTTGCTTTAGTGTTTGTCTTGCTTGTTACAAGCTGTCAAATGTCTCGTGAGCCTTGGCTATCTGCCTTCCATATTTAGGAGTGAAGCTCTCAAAAGCTAAAGTCGCACAGCAGGGCTTGTTGACTTGTGTGCTCATGTCCAGCGAGCGGGCAGGGACCTACAGTATCCTTTTTTGTTGAAGGTCCTTCAAATATTAGTAGCTCTAGGACTTTTTGATTGAGCTGCTGGATTTCCCCCAGAGAGGAGCTCCCCAATCTCCTGCTGTCAGTTTGCGGGGAGCTGTCTTACTGTCTAATATGCCATCTTTACTTTGGACTCATTTTCAGCATGGCACCTCATCCCTCCTCAGCTATGCCTGATGGCACTGGAACTAAAACTTCTGTGGGTCCACCTCTTCATTGGGTGAACCTCCTGTCTTCACCTGGGAGGTAGGAGGATGAGAGCAGCAGCTGGTTGTTAGGGCTGGGGAGGCCATCTGGGGGTCTAATTCCGCTTCTACACATCTCCAGCTAATCCCTGCTGTTTCTCAGGCCCTTCCTTCCCCCTGCATTTATTTAGAAGTGCCTGGTATCACCTCTTGCTGAAATATTCAGAGGTTCAGTGCAATGAATCCACTTGATCCTGACTGACTTCCTTACTAAGTTACTTAGATTTCAGCATTTTCTGTTAACAGTTCTCTCTTATCCATCCGTTTTCCAGTTGCCAAATTATTATAGCCATGTGGTTTCTATGGTTTCTTATACTGCTGTGTGGTGTGTGTGGGTGTGCATATTCGGGTTTATGCCTTATGATTCCTTTACTATCCACTTGGTGGGATTTCAAAGGAAATGCAGGCAAACATATATGTTAAATCTGTTGTTTCATTAGAAATCCCTTGTATTGCTTTGAAAAAAATATTTTATTTTGAAGTAATTATAGATTCGGAGGAAGTTGCAAAAATAGTAGAGGTTTCATGTACACTTCACCCAGCTCTCCCCAATGGTAAAGTCCTACTCAATTAGAGGACAATATCAAAATCAGGAAATTGGCATCGATACCATCCACAGACCAAATTTCCTCGGTTTTATGGACAGACATATGCATCTATGTGTGTATTGCTCTGTGCAATTTTAACACGTGTAGACTCAGGTACCTACCACCACAATCAAGATACAGAGCTGTTCTGTCACCACTAATCCCGCATGCTACCCCTTTGTGGTCATGCGCATGCCCCTCCCCTTACTCCCAACCCCTGGAACTCTAGAATGTTCTCCAGCTCCGTAATTTTATTCTTTAGAGAATGTTATATAAATGGAATCATACAATATGTAACTTTTGATACTGGCTTATTTTTACTCAGCTTAATTCCCTAGATATCCCCCCAAGTTGCTGAGCATACCAATAGTTTTTCCTTTGTAGTGCTAAGTTATAGTCCATGGTATGGATGTACAATAGTTAGACCATTCACCCAACTGAAGGA